TTTCCAATGCTAAGCATATAAAAGTCATGATGCTATTATCATATATAACAATAAAACACCATGTGATTTTTGCAATGTTTTATCATAAACCCTAACAAAAAAGTTTCTGAATTGTATATTAATTTTCAAGATTTTTTGAATTACATTACTAATTTCCATCCAATATTGCTTAGCTCTTAGCAAGTCCACCAAAAATGATAAAAAGATTCTTTTTTGGGTTTTATATTTCCACAACTATTTGGTGATCTTTTATACATTTTAGCCAATTTATCTGGGGATAAATATGATCTCTACATCTTATAAAAGTTCTCTTTGATGTTATAACTTAAGCTAAATTTTAGATCATTTTTCTGACAAATACATTTTATTAAAAAATGGAAGCTTTTGTTACCTCATGCATGTTAAAAAAAAGGAATGGAGCTTTGCATGGTTTCAGCCACCATATTGACTTTTGTAAGCCACCCCCCCCAACACATGGCCCTGCTTGCAGTCCAAGTTATAGAGTATTTATTGCTGAAGAAGACTGCATAGAGGAATTAATGGTTTGCCCAGGATTCAAATGCAACTTGAGGGTGATGTTGTTATGAATATGAAATAAAATATCTCCCATCTTTGTTCAGAATGCTGTGGACTTCTTGGTGTTCCCTGAGCTGGGTGGTTTGCTCACAGGCCTTTCAACCCAACTAGGTCAACATCGATAAAGGAGAATATTTGTAGCTCAGGGTTGAAATGAGAAGTCTTTGGTGCTGAGTTTGGTTGTTTTCTTGCAAACATTTCATTACCCAAACTAGGTAACACCATCAGTTTAAGTTAACGTCATCAGCCATGTGAGTGTGGAGTTTGTTGCCTAGCTGGGTGAGGAAATGTTTTCCAGCAAACAAGCAGAGAGAGAGCACCAAGAACTTGACAGTCCAGCCATGAGCTAGAGATTTTCTTCTGGTGGCAAAATACTGCATCAACTTTTAAAAGCCAAAATAGCTTTTAGAAGGTCCAACTGTCCATGTGACCACATCTGCCTCCAACCTGCCTCTTAACTGCAAGAGAAGCTCTTGGAACAGTTCTCGCCAGCCATTGGGGACATGTGAAAGAATTTTTCTGAGTCCCACCCATTTGGGGGGGGGAATTGTTTGTTAGCCCTTCCTCACTTCTGTTTCCTAAAAAATCAGCTTGGCTTGGCTTTTCACTGAAACTTGCTTTTTTAGTTAATCTCGGGATTTTCCCATTTTATTTCTTGGGGACGCTTTCAGTATTGGTGTTTATCTTTTTACAGATTTTATGGCAACCTGCCTTAGAAAAATGGTATAAAACCATGACACACGCAAATAAGTCATGGGTTTTGTTGGCTGGAGGGGGAATTCTGGGAATTAAAGTTGCCAAGGTTGAAAAACATTGGATTAAACCTTTTCTCCTCTTTGAGGAATCCTTGCTGTGAGTTCTCACCAAACTTCAAAGAGTAGGAAACTGTTTGAAAACAGTAGGAAAAGAATTGCTTTGAAAGCCTATTTGCAGACCTCTGTAAGAAAATGTTTTAAATTGAGATGCAATGTTCAAGGCTATAGTTCCTCCTACTATTATTGTGTGTGCATTTCTTAGCAAATTAGAGTTGACTTTGGTGACTTAGCTTCCATTACGCATGCTATCTGTGGTGTGAACTGAGCCACCACCTTGAAGGAACAAATAAGAGCAGGTGAAATGACTGACTGCCTTTTGAAGCAATGAAAAGTGTCAGGGATGTTCTTTTGGTCTGTTAATTTCAAGTATTGATGTTACAATAAATCATCATTAAGGACCCATGCGCAGTCACCAAGAGGTGAATTGTAGTCCTTGAGTGAAACTGATCTTTTTTGCTAGTGAATTGTAGAAGATTTATATGCATTTCCATGGTCATTTCTCCTGATATTTCTCCTAACAGAGTATGTGTATTTCGCAGTGCCCTTTCCTTAATATAATGTATTTTATTGAATTGAATTGTATCCCTCTTTGGGTATATTTTAAAAATAATAGCAATAAATGTTATGAACAAATACATCTTATGCATCATTGTCTTTATTTATTTTGGGGGCCCAGTTATTCACATTTTAATCTCTACTTTTGTATGCTCTGTATTAGTGTTGAAACTGCACATTTTAGGTTCTTTTTCTATCCTACATTTGGGAAGTAGCAAATGAGAAAGTTTCTGTTAAAAGCACAAATTGAAGAACCCATACCCACTTTTTTTTCTCATTTTCACAGGATATCAGCACATCCTGTTTCATTTACCACCTTCCATCTTTTTGCGATACTTGTTTCACTTCATTGGTGCTACAGTAATTGATTGGAACAGCTATGGGGCATCCTCAGAGGATATCAAAAAAGTCTAGTTATAGCTATGGCCAAAAGACTAAAGGCTTTGCCAGTTTTTAGAATATGCTTCAAAGAACTTTAAAAGGAGACAGGGCTTCTGTCTCACAGTTGCAGCTACTATTCTTGTTTTATCCTCCCTCCTACAGATGTTTCTGAAGAGGTGGCATTTTTCCTTAGCCCCATCCTCTCCTCAGGAAAGAGAATAATGCCACAATTCTGATTGGATGTTATGAGGTCACTACAGTGGTGGGATTCAAATATGTGAACAACAGGTTCTCTGTGTGGATACTGCTTCCGGAAGTCCATTCTGGGCCTGGGTAACAAAACATTAGCTACCGGTTCTGCCAAAGTGGTGCAAACTGGCTGGATCCCACCACTGGGTCACTACATGACATCTGGACTGTGTCACTGGGAACAACTTAAGCCTAACAAGCATTTTGATCATTCTGAGGAGAGGTGTTTTAAATAGGCCATGAAAGTTTGCGTAAAGCCCACACCCTCCAAATAAAAGATTTAAAAAAGATATTTTATTTGAAACAAGATTAAAACACAGAGCTCCAAAAAAAAGAGCCCAAAAGAAAGAGAAAAAAAGACAAAAAACCCAAAACAATTAAAAAGAAAAAAGTGCATCAAAAAACCACATTGTCAACATCCAGCTCAAGAGTCCACATAAAATTCGAGTTACATTCCATTTCCGAAAAGTTTACTGTTTATTGAATACACTGCTTGGTCATGTCGAAGCAAAACTAACTCTGACTAACCCACATATACACATAATATCTCCTCTATCTGAATACTGATTAATAGTTTACTACAACATTAGTTCCTATCCTTACGAAACAGGCCGTCCCAAAAGTTTTAATCTACTAAATCTATTTACAAATTGTTGACCTGTTTTCTATAAGTTATTTTAGTGACAAAGTCACCCCCACCTCGAGCGAATCATAAACAGCGTAAGGCTTGCTTTGTTTTCTGTTCAATTGCCAGCAACCACTGCAAAAGTGAGATAAACTGGGTTAAAACGGAAAGGCAACATCAGATGGCATGAAGATCCAAAGCTTTTCCAGCTAAGCACTCAACACGTAGCTCTTTTAGATTATGAAGGTAACATCAGAGAGGTGTAAGAGATGGAGAGAAGCTTTGAGGAAGATTTTTACTTTAGCCTGAGCATTCACAGATCCACTCATTGTCTGCTTCCCACCAGCTTCCAAGAGAGATAGTCTTTAGTTATATCTACCCAGGACTTACACTAAGGTCTTGTCCTTCTGCAGAATGTCAACTCCAGCATAAGTAGAAAATGGCTGAATTTGATCTGGGTGTGAGACCTTCTTTCAAAAGTATCGGGATTCCCCATGTATTTTTTTGTATTTATTTTTTTTAGCCTTATGAAGCCAAAGAACATTCTTGTTGAAATAACAACAGAACTTTCAATCTGTGCAAGTGCTTATAGCGAGGGACTAACAACTATTCTGATTCACATCAGCCCACCTGACATTTAAATAAAATAATCAGAAACCTCAAGGGTTGGAGTGTGAGATCAATCAGTTGATCAACTGATCATAATTCTATGTATTTTAGCACCCAAACACTGCAAATGTAGATCAATACTTGAGCTGGGAGAAGATGCAATCAAGAGACCTAGATCATAAGTTCTGGTTTAATGTTATATCAATATCCTTTAGGTGTGCATCTTTCTTTCATTTTACTTCCTTCTCCACACAACTATAGATAAACTAGAAACGTTCATTTCAATTTTCAACTAACCCTCACCTGACTCTTGACAAACTTTGGCTCAATCAATTTTTTTATTATGTCACAGACCAGAATTGGTTAATATTGTGTGCGCTGTCCAGATAAACCAACATCACATTGCCATGTTTGATTTTGAACAGAATTTACCTCCAAAGTAATCCAATTATTGGTGTAAATAAAAGAAATGACCCTTGGTTGAAAGAGGAAATGGAAGCATCCAATTGACTTAAGTGTCGCCAGAGGAGAGGGTCAAAAACGTCAAGATGGCAGCCATGAGACACAATTGAAACTCCATGTATATGGCTCTACTAATAACACACTGATGGGGAAGTTCCCATTATCCAACTAGACTCTACTTTGCTGTTTCTCAACTCTGAGTGTAGGCACTAAGAAGCAAATTCAGGGACTGTGGTGAAAACTGCTTTCATATACAAACCTGCTGGGAAATTCAACTGCTTTCTTCACCCTCTTTCAATCAGAGTTTATAAAAGGGATTTCCAAAAATAAAAGGGAATATAAGGGAGGAGGGAAGCAATAAAAACAGCCCATGGGATTTAAAATAAAAATATAAAAAGAAAATTTATGAAGAGGGTACACTCCAGGGATCATACAATCAAGTGCACCTTACCATTTAAGTGCAGATGATTAGAAGTAATTAATATGCAAAGCCTGCACAAGTTTAAAATAGCAATTAGCCAAGTATAACATTTCTGCTCTGCAGAAAAATGGCAATTCCCTCTCCTCCTCATTTTCCAGTGCTATTTACTTCTTTTATTTTTAGGTACACACGCAATTAAACACATTTCTGCTACCTGCTTTTATGACTCAGTAAAACTTTGAATACCGAAAAATCAAATTTTGATTACAGGAAAAAGAGGTAATTTTAGTTTATGATATTTACTTACTTATGCATGTATCCATCTGTACTGCCTGTTAAGTTCATTTGCATAACAGTCTGAAACTCTGTTTCATTACAGCAATATTTAAACACGGTGTTGTTATGGTGACAGCAAAAGACGTATGATTTATTGTCCGAAAGTCGGGGACAATGGAATCCAACGTGGGAACGACCTTTGTAATCGGTATATGGCTCACAGACTCGAAAATGTGCAGAGAAAGCTGTAAGGCAAGGTGTAAATCTCTCTGTAACTCATTGGCAACAGAAAAGAATAATAGTTAGCTTTTTTTTTGCAGCACTGCAAAGCAGATAGGCATTTTTGTAATGGCATATAAAGATGACCTTAGGGGACGAGGAGAAGCGATGCTACCTTGAGAAACTATTCGACAAAGTGGCAGGGGTCCCCAGTGGCTTAACGGTCAGAGAAAGAAAGTTAGGATACTTGCGGGATAGATGTCAGCCCTCCCAGGTAAACCAGACAGCAGACACAATTAGATGAATTAATTCTACTTAATTGAACTGAATTGAATTGAACTTTATCTGGCCAAGTGTGATTTGACACATGAGGAATTTGTCTCTAGTACAGAAGCGCTCAGTGTACATGCAAAGCAACATAGTAATAATAATTGTAAGATTACACTAACAATCTGGCAAAAGAGCCGAGGTGGCGCAGCAATTAGAGTGCAGTACTGCAGGCCACTTTAGCTGACTGTGTTCAGCAGGTCAGCGGTTCAGATCTCACCGGCTCAAGGTTGACTCAGCCTTCCATCCTTCCGGGGAAGGTAAAATGAGGACCCAGATTGTTGGGGGCAATGTAAATATATATATATATATACATTGCTTACTGGTGTACACCGCTTAGAGAGTGCTTGCACTTAAAGCGGTATATAAGTCTCATAAATAAATAAGTCTCATAAATAAATAAATCCGCAAGTATTAACTTCCCGTCGCCACTTTTAACTACTTGATCCATTATGGCGGCTGCTTCCTAAGTTTCTTTCTCTGACCATTAAAGTGACTGGGAGTTCCACCTTCCCCAGGCAGCATCACTTCTCTTCATTCTCCAAGATCTCTTCCCTTCATCCTATGCACACACACCTCTGTAATCTCAGGTAGATCTTGGGCTTTCTTAATGCCACAGCTGTGAACTTGGGGCAAAAAAACCCCCAAACCAACCCCTATATTTCCCCAAACTGTTGCAACAGGGTTATAGCTTAGATTAGTTTTGATCAAAAAGTTTTTTCTTCCCATTGGAACTGACATTGTCTGAATACCATTTTTAATTCTTTACAGTATAATCCAATGCTTTTCAGCCTTGCAACTTTAAGATATGTGGACTTCAGTTCCCAGAATTCCCAGCCAGTATGTTGGGTTCTATACCACCTTCTATGCCAGTGATGGCGAACCTTTTAGAGACCGAGTGCCCCAAAACCGTCCCACCCCCAACCTGCCCCCACTCTGCCCACCCGCCCCCGGCCCTGCCCCACTCTCACCCTGCCCGCCCTCAGGGCAATCCACAGCCTGCCACAGATGGCCCAGGCGGCCCTGCAGTGCCATGGTGCCACAGCCTCTGCCCACGCCCTGCAGCATCATCTGCTGCCCAACTGCCATGTGCTTGGCTGCGTTGCTCCACGCGGGCCGCACCTAGGGGTGACTCTCCTCCAGGGGGCTGCTGGTGAGGAGAGGCCGCGGGGGGAGGCGGGGCTGGGGCGATGGCCACAGAGAGGGCTCCAAGTGCCGCCTCTGGCATTCGTGCCATAGGTTCACCATCACTGCTCTATGCAGACTGCTCGCTGGGAAATAAACTGGATGGGGAATTCTGGAGGCTAAAAAAATTCACTCATCTTAAAGTGGCCAAGATTGAAAAACACTGGTGTGGTCCTATATCTCCAATCAGCCGCAGGCATCTTAATTTTATGGATCTACAGGCTTAACGTTTTCTTCTAACCAAAGACATGGCTTCATTTTCCCCCCAAAGCTATAGCCTTACATGTGAAATGAGATTCTCCATTTCACGGACTGATTATGATTAGGCTCTAATGGTTAAGTCCTATTGATTTTTCCGGTAAACAAAGCCCTTTAATTTCCCTGTTGAAATCAATACAACAAAGGAGTTTTCTGAGACCAAGCACCCTCCTGACTGTCTGTGGCTAACAATGCATGAAATACAAAGGTTTCTGGGACATTCAAGAGAACAAAAGGATACAAAACCCAAACATCTATTGCAATCTGCCCTTGATCAATATAGCCTTGTGAGAGTCCTTTAGGAGCCTGTGGTTGTAGTTGCTGTAGTTCACATAAGGGACAATTAAATCAAAGTCCACCTTTGTGAAGGTAAAAATGGTTGCTTATTTTAACTAGGGTGGGAGACACATCTAGACAATTAGTAGATTATGAGCTTTTCAGAAACGGGAGAATCAGTCATTATATCCTGCTCTGTCCCAGTTGTAGTGTCCTTAAGAAGGAGAGAAAAAAGAGTCATGATCATGGCCACAGCCATATAATCAAAACCCCACCTAGTTTTTTTTTACATGTGGTAGACAATTGCTACCGCCATCTTGACCTTTCTGGATCCATAGTCCTAGGTATAATCACAAAGTCCATGTCAACCTGGAAATGCCATTGTTCTTCGACACCATCTTATCTGAGGTGCAGATCGACCTCTTCTTAAAAACTCTTTTCACCCTGTTTTCCCCAAACTCTGCATTTTAAAGATCTTTCTACTCAAGATATTCAGAGGTCTTGAAATATCTGCCACTAGGTTATTTTTACTGGCGTTGATCTATTAAACCAATGAACAGCAGGAAATAATATGCACCCATATTAAATAAACTATTTCTAGGGCGGTTTACTTGCCTTTCCCAAGACATATCAGCTCTATTGTTATTTAAAAATAAACAGGAACAAAACAGCCAGATGGTGAAAGGAGCTTTTGTAAGAAAAACAAGTGTCATTTTCTTCTGTTGTCTTTTATTAACTCTGTGCTGACCTATGAAAAGTTCATACAAAAAAGACGTTTATTTTTTGTTTTTCTTAGCAACTCGGGCTTAAGCACAATATTATTTTAGGCAAATCAAAACAAAAGCCACTGATTTCAGGCAAATCAAAACAAAAACCACTGATAAATTAAAAAGTCAAACTTACCTGCTGACAAGAGTGCACAGAATACAATCATCAGTGTATGTAAGGATTGCCGACCACAACTTGTCATTGTTTTCTTTTCATTGAGCTGTTTGAGAATTACCTAATGAATCAGACAAAATTGTGAAGTTAGAAGAAGGGGACATATATGCACCTACGCTATATATATATATATATACATTGATTTATTTAACTCAGCGGTTCTCAACCTGTGGGTCGGGACCCCATTTGGGGTCGAACGACCATTTCACGGGGGTCGCCAAACAAGGCTTCCGGCATTTTTTCCCCTTTTCCTTAGCTGTGCTACTCCCTTTTATTCTATTGGCTTTTGAAAGCCAATAGAATAGACTCTCTTGAATAGAGTCTAATTCTATTGGCTTTCAAAAGCCAATAGGAATTGTCCAGGCTGTCTCTCCCCTGCTGAGCCCGCCAAAAGCCCCATTCTGCAAACGGTGCTGCAAGTTGTCTGCAGTGAAGGCGAGCTGTCTGGAAGCTTCCACCCCTCCCTGCTGAGCAACTACTAAAAATGTAAGTAAAAGAGGGCCAGGGTGGGAGGTGGGAGGCCAGTGAGTGCAGGGAGGGTTGCTGGCATGCGTGGGGCCCGGCGGGTGCCTTACCTGCCTTGGGCTGGGCCAGCTGGTGGCCCAGCCGGTGGTCGCCCTGCGCCGTCGCTGCCCCTTGCCAGCTATGCCTCGGCTGGCGCAGGGGGCGGCACCACGCATGTGCGCACTCCCGGGTAGGGAAAGCCCTCGATTTACGACTGGTTGGGTAGTCCTCGACTTACGACCGGTTGAGTAGTCCTCAACTTACAACTGGTTGGGGGTCACGGCATCAAAAAGGTTGAGAACCACTGATTTAACTAAACAAAAGGCTTAAAAAACTTCACCTTCAACCTGTAATGCAGGGGTCCCCAACCCCTGGTGTGTGGACCGATAATGGGCCGTGGCATGCCAGCAACCAGTCCGCACAAACAAGCAAAGCCCCATCCATGGGATGCAGGCAGCACACAAAACCATGTCCTCTCTGGTCCATGGAAAACCTTTCTCCGTGGAACTGGTCCCTGGTGCCCAAAAGATTGGCATGACAAAGAGGATGAAGCTTTAAGGCTCTGCAGCCAATATCATCTTCTGGCTTTTCAAGATTGAAGTATACTCAACCAAAGTATGTAGAACCTCTGATGGTGTAACCTTTTTTGTTTTGCAGTTCATAAGTACTACGAAGAATCTATAAGTGGTAAAGGAATGTTTCAAACTTGAAGCTCACTTTGCTGCTGCAACAATGATTACTTCTTAGCTTGCTGCCAACAAACTTGCAGGGAGAATGGGGAAATGGAATGCGGGCTACAAACATAAAGAAGGCAGACTGTGAGAATCAAGGGCGATTCATCAGGTATCTGATCTGACTCAGAGACATTTTCTCATAACAATATAATTGCACCTAATTGGGCAATGTGACTTGTTCAGGGATGGGAGGGGGAATTCTATACTTTTACTATAAGAGTTTGGCCTGCGGTTTGTCAGAGCTGGTTTTGCTTTCATACATGCCAAAATGATGTACTCAATAAAGTTTTACATTAAGAGATTGGAATGTCTCGAAGGTGTTTGCTTGGTTGGGTTCATCAGCCAGAACCTTCACAGAATGTTTATATGGCAGAATTGTTTGGACTTCAGGTATTAGTTTCTAGACTAATGTGTGAAATAGAATTTCTGAGTCTTTCTGGATTTACTGAGCGTTATTTAACTAGTACCCAAAACTCAATCTACAATTTCTTTCAGTTGCAATACTGGGAAAGATTACCTCAAAAAAACCCATAGCTTCTTTTCATCTTGTCCCAACAGAGATGATGGTTCTTAGAAGTAAATATAAATCAACTGACAGGTCTCTAAAGTCAAGTTGCAATGGCCAAATTTGAGCTTATTTATTTATTTATGAGACTTATATACCGCTTTAAGTGCAAGCACTCTCTAAGCGGTGTACACCAGTACGCAATGTATATATATATTTACATTGCCCCCAACAATCTGGATCCTCATTTTACCTACCCCGGAAGGATGGAAGGCTGAGTCAACCTTGAGCCGGTGAGATTTGAACCGCTGACCTGCTGAACACAGTCAGCTAAAGTGGCCTGCAGTACTGCACCCTAACTGCTGCGCCACCTCGGAGTTTATTCAAGGAAGGTTAAAATACAAAACACCAAATATTTTAAAGGACAAAAGAATTAAAAAACAGCAAAAAAGACATTAAAAAAGCATCTTAAAAAAAGAAAAAGAAAAAAAAGACTAACAAGTATACAAATAACATTCACCCTAGCTGAATACTGATTAATATAATACAGCAATGCTGGTTTCCCATCCTTTGTGAAACAGGCCAAAAGAATTTTAAATTAGTAAACCACTAACTTCTTTTTACAAATTATTAACCTGTCATCTATAAACTATATTAATAATAAAATAGTTACCATAAAAACAATAGTAATAAATACATTACATAAAAGTAATAAAATTGTGAATAAAAAAAAGGGAAGTTTGAAATTCCAAAACCCTCTGTTAACAAACTGTGATTACAATCAACTTGTAGAAAATTTACCATGGCTTCAATCCCAAAACATCCCAAATATTAATCCTAATTGATCCCGGATCAAATATCCGTTATTTCTTTATAAGATGCATCTCTTATCAATTGCTGATTAATTGAATACAATAAGTCCAATCTCCAAAGCCAATCTATCTTCCCTCAAAGAAACAGATAAGATCACTCATCAATTAGATGCATAAAGTCCATTGCCACTCTCCTTCAAACCCCTTAAAAAAATCTTTTGCAACTAGTCCAGCCAGAGAGTTCTCTGCTATTATATAATAGCAACATGTTAAGTTTTTGGAAGGTATATAGCAGAGGTCCCCAACCTTTTGGGCACTGCGAACAGGTTCTATGGAGAGAGGCTTTTCCGTCGACCAGAGAGTGCATGGTTTTGTGTGCTGTCTGCATCTCGCTGATGGGGCCTTGCTTGTTTGTGTGGCCCAGTTGCTGGCATGCCATGGCCTGGTACTGGTTCATGGACTGTGGATTGGGGACCCCTGGTATATGGAATCTGTTCTATTACTTCTGAGTCTATATTTCTTCCTGGCCAGTTTACAGCTAGGAAATCACATTTCTTCTCAATATTCTCCACAATGTGTTGTTTCTGTGTCTGTATTTCTTCCCAATGAATCTGTTACTTTGAAAACAGGTTCTTTTTGTAAGTTTAAAGTGTTTAGTGTCTATTTTTTTCAAAATGTTTTCCACAGATTTTATAAGTGCATCAAACCTTTTAGAAAAAAAATAAACTAAAATTTGCAGGTTGCTAGCCAGGCCCTGTTTTCCCCCTTGAGTGTCAGCCTCCTCCTTCTCTCTATAATCCTATATATTGTTGCTCAAAGCAGGGAGCAAACGGAGACATAGAAAATATTTTCTAACTACTTCAGTTCAAAAAGTTTTTGCAGGTTAATAAAATACAAATCCAGAGTCACGTGCCATGTTTCCCTATGAAAACCAGAAACTGATAAGAGCAGTCAAATAAATAAATAAAAAGAAAGCAAAAAAGAGAGTAGAAAGAATCTAGCAGGTGTTGGGCCATATCAAAGTGCAAAGTTCCAGCAACAAATCATTACCAAAGTCTGGTAAAAACAGTTTAAAATAAAATTTGATAAAATGCAGTTTAAAATGGAACTAGAGTAAAATATGACTTAAGATGAAATTGGAGTAAAATACAGTCTAAAATGAAATTAAAATAGAGTACAGTAATTTAAAATATAGATAAAATATGATAAAATTATATCTTGGAGTCACCCTTGCAATCTAAACCAATTAGTCGCACATATACAGATCTCAACCAAACCATTTTGTTTAAATACTGTGCTGTGTTAAATGTTATTTTCAAGTTCTGGCCGCACATAAGGTAAGTTGTTTTGATGTGGGGATCCCAATGAGTCATTCGTTTGGTATATAGACCGAGGTACCTGACTCTCACCCTCTTGTACAGGCAACAATCGAATAGGATGTGAGCCAGGTCTTCTACCTCTGCCGCTCTGCAAATGCAGAGACGCTCATTGTAAGGTATAGAATGGAATCTCCCATATCTGACCATTGTGTCAAGCTGTTCGAATCTCACTCGCATAAAGTGAGCCAGGTCTTCTACCTCTGCCGCTCCGCAAATGCAGAGACGCTCATTGTAAGGTATAGAATGGAATCTCCCATATCTGACCATTGTGTCAAGCTGTTCGAATCTCACTTGCGTAAATATCTCCCTAAGGTGTTTTGGCAGTTATAACTTTGAGTACAGTAAAGCAATGCATTGGAAATGAAAATGGCTTAATCAGAAAGTATTAGAACAGAACCAGTCATGTTCAAAGGCTTCTGGCTGGTATTAAGCACAACAGTTTTTTTAAAACATTTAAGAAAATATCAAAGGGAGCTCTTGGCCATCTCACAAAGCTCCTAATGTAAGACCTACGCCCATTCAGTCACTCCTAAGTCTGATCTAGTTTCATTTTCTATAAACATTGGACGAGAAATCTGCAGAGTTGGGAATTTATCCTTGAAAGGTTACTGGAAAACAGAGCTGATTCTCCTTTTCTACATGCTCAAAATTTAAATTTATGGAGAATTTGCTTTCCTAATAATCCATAAAATGCACTCCTAATTATGTATTTATACAAATAGAAAATAAATATAGTACTAAGCATCTATTTCTAACAATAGAAGTAAGCACCTATCATTAACTCAATAACCCTTGCAGTGGTGTCCCATCTACAATTGCTATCCTAGTGCCAACAAAATTGGAAATCAAGCATTTCCAAGCTTACATCTTCAAACTGTTGCTATCTCAGGATACAATCCAACAAATAATCAAGTGCCATGTCGGCAGAGCCATGTGGGCAGAAGAAAATTCACTGCTCAGTCAGCTATGAAAATTCATGGGGAACTTTCAGTCAGCCTCTCCTCCCCTTTGCCACTCTACCTCATTGGGTGATTAGGAAGATAAAAGAATTATCAAAGAGATAACTATGTAGAACCTTTTGAAAACAAGAAGCAAGAGTAGAATAGCAATAGCACTTAGATTTGTAT